TGATCAAATACACCCGGTAATAAAATACGTTCCCAATAAGTAATCAATGTTTTAAAGTGACCACTACATACAAGATGCATATAATGTTTTGCAACTTGATCTGGGAATAATAAAAGTTTTGTTAATGGGGTTGGTCCCTTGATTCCCATTGCTCTTGCAGCTGGTAAATTTTGTGTTGATAATGTTAAATAATCATGATCAGTTTTTCGTGGTGACGATACAGGTGAATATGGATAAAATATTTGTCGACCAATAGCAACACCTTGAATTGTACAATCACTGCACGTATAATAACCATTGAATTGAATAATATTACAATTTTGTGCAAGTGCTGTTAAGTCGAATGTGGCATATTGTACACGAATTGAAAATTTTAATTGTTTATCATTATCTGTTGTAACTTTGATACCACTTTGGAGTAATTCATAAATTTGTTGAACAATTTTGTCCCATAAAAAATCTCTATTTGGATGAGTTCCACCCAACCATGCGCCGAGGACTATGGTTGCGTTTATATGGTCACGAATAGGCGGAGGAAGTTCCATTATTGTACACTGAATGGGCCACAACGACTTGCCCCCCATTTTTGTGACTGGTCAGTATGTAAAGCCAGTGTTAATTGATGATCAAATTTTGATGGTAATTGCGTATAAACTTCGCCGTTTAATACATCACATGGCAACAGAGTACTTGACTGAGTTGGATATTCACGAATTAAATTCAAATATGTTTTTGTTGTAGTTGTAATTTCTTTTTTAACATCGTTAATCACCAATTCACTAACATTTTTGAATGGACGTCGTTGGTTGTTCATTGAACATCCAGTTGTACATTCTTTTTGTTGAGGTGTAAATAATGGATAAAAACATTCCCGACAAAAATAATTCACTTTTTTTGAATAACCAATTCCTGAAAACAAAGATATGACGATGAAACAGGCTGAATTTGTGCAGACAGAAGAAAACACTAATATTTTCCGCTTAAAATCACGTCATATGAAAAAAGATGAGTGAGACCGGTCCTGATCCGGAACAGAAATCGGGATCAATTTTTTACCAATTTGGTCGCACAACATCTTTTTTAGCTAAACCTATGATGAAATGTGAAAAGCATACACTTACCAACTAGTTTCATTAGACCTGGAACAGTTCGTGGTAATTTATTATCATTCGATAATAATATATGTAATCCAGCTAATAAACATTTAATTTGGCATTTATTTAAATTTAAATCATGACTTAATCGAACGATTTCCATACATGCATCATATATTGATAATGAACTTGATGAATACAACTTTTTTTCACGATTAACGTCTAATACATTAAATAATTCCTGTAGATCATCATCATCATCATCCGTATTATCACCACTTGAATCCTTTTGTTGTTCATCAAAATTTTGTTCATCATAAATATCATTTTGAGATGGAGATAATAAATCTACTGTTGACGCATGTTGTTGTTATAAATCGTAATGCGTATTTGAAGGATTCATTGGCGTACTGTTAATATTTTCTCCATCTATAAACGCATTAAGAAAAGCATCTCCAGCACGCGCACGGGCTTGTCTCTTACGGTCAGTATCAGTTTTTTGATAAAAACGATTGTTAAACATCGAAAAAAACAAACGCAGAGAGCCAGTAGACAGAGATCATGTGAAAGAAAAAATGATGACGGGATAGATGAATCAGATCAATTGTTTTCGGCATCGAAAGAACGAATAAGCTCATATCCAAGCAAAAGCTAAAATCAGACACACTTCTTGCGCCGAAAAATCCAGCAGAACCCTTGAAAAGTTAAACTGGCTGGTTTTTCACGGTTGACACCGAAAATATTTTCAGAGTTTTATGCTTAATAAGACGTAAAAACAAAAGTATTTAAGTTTTGTTTCTTGCATAAATAAGTATTTCGGACGATTGTACACGTAATGCACCGTTTGCATGTAATTTTTTTCCTAAAAATGAACTTGACTCAAAATTGTTTTGCAAAGGTAGCTGGGCAACTCGGACGTTCGTTGAAATATGAGTTTCCGCACTGATAGATTGAACAGTAACAGACCCTGAAAACCTCCTAGAATCCAAGATCCAAAGTTTTCTTTGAAATCGGTCGAAAACTGCTCATATATAAATTTAAAATTAGATCTCTCCTAATTCTCAAAACTTCGTAGCTTAAAAGTTACAATCGATTTGCTGAGAATCCCATTTCATTACAGAGCTGAAACTTTCAAGATGTATTGTAATCAGTAATTGAAATCGGTTAGAGAGACAAAGAAGTTCGAAATCTATTATAAATTAAGGTTTTTCAGGAGATCTTAGGAAATCCCAGGTCATGAAATAATAAATTTCTAGGTTTTCTGTTTCCTTAACCAATTGAGTATATCGATACAATATGTCCTGAAAGTTTTAGCTATTTTGGACAAGTATTGACAATTTTATGGAGATTTTATTGTACAACGTTCAATCGGGAAAATTAGGATTTTTTAAAAACTTCTCTATTAAAACTCCGTTAATTTCTCCAAGAAAATAAACGCTGCTACGAGATTCAGTGTAGTCGATTATCTATGTTTGGAGTCATTTTAAGCTCACGAGACTTAAAACCCATGAGATAGGTAGGTCCAAGTATAATTCTTATATGTCGAGAACCATGATAGATAGCGATCTCAGCCTTACCTAGATCGGTAAAGGATACTTTAGGCTATTTACCCATGGTATAAGAATTGAAAATTCATTTTTCTTTCGATATGTGACTATCTCATAAAAGAAGGCGAGCAAGATACACCACCTGTAGGTCGCGGTTTTTATCAAATTTTTTCATAGATCGATGTCCCTGGTGTTGTCTGCAACATTCAGAAAATCCCCGGTCTCTATCAAGTTTCGTTTGAAAGTTATTCCAATACATTGAAAACCATTATATTTTGAAACCGACAGGAGTTTTTTTCAATGTATCTGATAGACACCAGGTAAAATATTCATTTTAGTGACACAACTAGCCACATTGATGATTGTCTAAATGGAGAAAGAATTTCAGAACTATCTCTAGTAAGTTGGCCGAAATATAATTACTAGAACTAGTTTTCTAACCGGACGATTTTTCTTCGGTTCATTACCGAATTTTCAGACGTTCCACCCTAGAGATCAAATCTTATATAAGATTCCTATAGGACTCTTATAGAATATCTGCAAGAATCTTATGAATTTCTTATAAGGCAGTCGATGGAAATGAGTAATTTATT